CACTGATCAGGGCTATGTTGTTCTTTATGCTTGAATCATGCCTTACTGTCTACCACACGAACAAACACCCCTAATAACTACAAAGCACTCACTTTTTGTCTTTCAAATCTCAGTGTTCATCTTACCTCCTATCTCCTTTCTCATCTGCTCAGGTGTTTTGTGGCTTTTCCGTGATGCTTACCATCCTCACATGTGGATGGGTGACAGCAGGTTTTAGCCAGCACAATGCTCTACTTGCTCCCTCTTTAGCGGGTAGCCAGGTGCTGCTCTGTGTTACTGGGTCTGTTGGGTCAGGTCCAGCCACGGAGCCTGGGAATGGGCAGAGGTGAATGCCGAGGGCCACCCACCTGGTTGACACCTGCACTCAGGGTTGGCCTAGCCCAGATTGATTGCAAACCTGCATTTTTTAAGGGGCAGTGCTCTTCTTTGAAGATCTGTTCTGGAGACTTTTTTTTTTTATTACCAAAGATACCACTTCGATAAAAAGAAAAATATTTCAGAAACACATACTCATAAACCAGAGTCTCATTAGATTTAACCTTCTCATTGTCTTTGAGGGATTGTTCTCCATGGGCTGGACACTTGTTCAGTTAGCAATCAAGAAGCTTGTCTTGGTAAGTGTTCCTGAAGCCATGTTCACTGTATGAAAGCCCTCCGAGAGTGTTTGAGGTCAGGGTTGTCTGTTTAAGGGGAAGTTGTACCCAGGTCATTAGTGCTCTCTTGCTTCCTCTGGATTCAAAAACACCTCTGCCAGCTGGGCCCTGCCTCCTCAGGCACTGCTGCTGACCATTTGGGAGACTCCTCACTGCTCTTAGGTGTTGCTTATGGTACCTCCCAGAGTTGAGGTTCTGCCCACTGAGAAGAAACAATGGGCTGTCCTCTGCCTGTGCTAAAAACCATTATGTGACAGATTTGTTGGTACCTATGTTGGATTTTCTTTGTTTGAGAAGCATGTGGTGTACAATAACATTTTTCCAGATCCATGAATCAGCCCATCATGTTTTATAATTTAAAAAGTTCATGTTTGACATTTTATTCTGTAGTTCACATGTCAGTTTTGAATTAAAAGCACTACTTGTCACTGTCCTGTGTGCCTCTTCAGTTGTCTCCTTGAGCCTTGCTTAGCAGCTGGCTGGACACTCAGGTGAACTTAGGTGAGGCCTGTAAAGAGGCCCATGTCAATCTGGTTCACACACTTGGTGGGACAGGTGCGGTAGGGCGGGGCATGACAGAGACAGGTGGTGCTCTCCCTCCCTCCATCCCTCTGGGGAGTGATGACCACCCAGTGGGCATGGGCCAGATAGATTGCAGCAGTATTGTAGTGCCCGGGACTGTGCTGTGTGAAGTGCTGGTTCCTCTGTCGCGTGTGTTCCTTCAGGTCACACAATTTTACTGCCTTTTGGTCCCAGGCCTGAGGGTCTGTACTTAGGATGACCCTGGAGACTCAGAGAACATTTCTGCTTGGCTGTGTAATGGGAACCCCTCACCTAATGAGGTGCTCAGCACTCTGTGCACAGCCCTCATTAGTGAAAGGTGAGGATACTACTAGTAGTGCTGGTGAAGACAGCCCAGGCCTGTTGTGGTTCTTGCTGGGCCTCAGCCTAGCGACTGTGACCTCTTCTCCATTTACCACTGCCCCTGAGAATAAAACGTTCTTACTAATTTCTGGGGAAGTAATTGAATTTGAATGTACTTCTGTTATGATTGTATACTTTGCTTACAGGGACAAGTTATTAAAGTACTGGCTGAACCCCAGAGCTTGGTCCAACTCTTGGTACCTCCTGTGAGGTGGAGTATTTATGAAATGTGTAAGGCACACAATGTACTGCCAGCTATAGGGCATTTGAGAAAGCAGCCATTTTCTATAAGTAGATGTTGTGCTTTGGGCTCCTACTCCAGCTAGAGGATCTGTACCACTGCATGCCACACTTAAAAAATATCAGATTCTCTTAAATGTTTTTTACACAGTCAATTAGTCATATTCCTCTAATATTTCATTGATACTGTATGTTTGGTTAATTGCTTTATATTTTTATATTTTGCCTAGAGTTATAACAATCTTGGCAGGCCTTAAGTAAAAGAAGCCTGCTTCCTCTTGGCTGTGGTACAGTTCTAGGGGTTTTTTTGTTTGTTTGTTTGTTTTTTAGTTTTTATTTATTGATTTGAGGGGGCACATCAATTTGTTATTCTACTTATTTACATATTCATTGGTTGCTTCTTCTGTGTGCCCTGACTGGAGATTGAACTTGCAACCTTGTGTTATCGGGACAATGCTCTCTAATCAGTAGAGCTATCTGGCCAGGGCCCTCAGAGTTCTGGATGATGATTCCTTGGTTGGGAACAGGGATGTGGCATGTATTCCAGGGTGACCCTAACTGAGGGGACTGCTCAGGCCTCCACCTGTTCTTGCCATCTGCTGCCTCACTTCACCTCCATGCTTATCATGTTTGGGTTACAAGATGTTCTTTCTAGATTTGTTCTTGACTTATGGTAGTTGTGCATTTTGTGAATCTCAAGATGATTATCTTGTCTTGTGACTACATTGTGCCCATCTGTCTTTCCAGTTCCTGGTGCAGTTTCCACAGGATTCTGGCTTCTCCATAGTTTTCTGTGTGTCCTTTCCCTATTTAAGTGGAGAGAGGAAATCTTTGTCTATCCTTTATGAAAAATATATATACAGTATAAGAAACAGCTTTATATGGCTGCATTCCCTTTGCTATTCAAGTTTATTAAATTAAGCATTCAATTGTTATTATGTTATAATATTGATATGCTTTTTAACACCTGTATGTATTATTACAGACTTGTGATTTTCCCCAGTTTCAGCTTATTCTAATAAGCTTTACTTACTGATCTCTTTTTAGTGTTTATAGCACAACTTGGCCAGTAGCAGCCCCTACAGGCAGCTTCCCTGCCCTTTTCTGCTTCACAACTTGTGAAGACACCTCCTTTTCAGACCCAGCAAGGGATTCTTGGATCATATTGTCTTCTATTCCAAGACATGGAGTCAGGTGCTCTCCTGGGTTCTTTTAGTGGGCAGTACTATTGGAAACAGATCTGGGTGCTCTGAGTTCATTTTGTGTTGTTCTACCACAGCCTGGGGTGAGCAGGCTAATGATGTCACTGCTCAAACACTTCAGGGTCAGAGCCAGAACATATTTTTTAATGGTTATGCATACAACTTGTATATATTTCTGATTTGATTCTATCTAATCTTTAAAAAATTTTTAAGTTGATTTGACAAAGAGAGAGAGAGAGAAATATTGCTTGTTACTCCATTTATTTATGCATTCATTTATTTTTTTCTTATATGTACCCTGACTGGGGATCGAACCCGCAACCTTTTTGTATCAGAATGATGCTCTAACCATCTGAGCTAATTGGCCAGGGCTGATCCTTTCTTAATACCCAACTAAATTTTTAACTGTATTTATACTCACGTCTCTTCAGTGTTTCGTTGATAACTGTTCTGTTGTCACTTTGTTGACAAATTACCAAATTGCCTTCCAAAAACATTTTAACAGCAATATAGGTTTGTGGTGCCAGCTGCAGTTGTAGGTATATATGAAGTCTGTCCAGAAAGTATCCAGTCATGTAATATGAAAAATAGAGACATTTATTGAAGAAGATATAATGACGCCTCAGTCCCCTTCAAAATAGTCACCTTGGGACCTCACACAGTTCTCTTAATTGCCATCAACTGCCCATTCTATTTTCTTGAATCCCATCGGTGGTCTGAAATCGCTTCCCTTTCAAAGGTGATTTTAATTTTGGGAAAAGCCAGAAGTTGCAGGGTACCAAATCTGGGCTGTAGAGGGATTCAGTCACCTGTGTGATTTGATGTTTTGCAAAAAAACTTTCCATGAGACATGATACGTGGGCAGGTGCGCTGTCATAATGAAGCTGCCAGTCACCAGTTGCCCATAGCTGTTGCCCTCTGAATCATTCAAATGGTTTCTGTAGAGGAATGTTTAAGCTTAAAGCAAAATTTGATGCAGATCTGTTACTCTAGTTGCTCAGTCATTTTGAATGCAATGGCCACACAGTACATATGCTCACTCAATGACATCTACCACTCCCACTGACTAATTAGTACAGTGAAGTCGTTACCGTTCATGCATGTGAATTCCAGTCCACTCTCCTTGGCTGCCAGGTTATAGCTATGTCGCGCAAACCTTTCACATTATATTAACAATGGTTGGACTTTTTCTGAACAAATCTTGTACTTGATTTGTCCTAGTCTTGCCAGCTTTGGATGTCTCTGTGTATTGAAAACATATTTAATCATTTTTACCTATTAATTTACTCCCCCTTGTTGAAAATGTTCTGTGCTGTGTCTGGTTGCTTTAAATTGTCTTTGAATACTGTGTACATTTTCTTTTCTTTTTTTTTTTATTGTAATTGTGTTTTGTTTTTATTTTTGTAACACAAAAAGAGAGGGAGAAGGCAAAGTGGCAGGGCTCAGCCACATCCCCACAACAGCTTATGAGGCACATGTCTGTCTGGATTTGTTTTGAAAAGATGATTTCAGGTCTGTGTTTCAGAAAAACTTCCTGGACTGTCATTCTTAGAGCAGAGAGGTTAAAATGAAAACCTTTTGTCTGTTTGTCACACAAAGATCCAGCAAGAGGTTTGGAAAATGCCCCCCTTAACAAAAGGGCCAGGGCTCTAAGGATGCGTTAACACAAAGAACCGTCCAGGAATCAAGTTGGCTGCGACTTCACAAAATCAAAAACACCAAATAACATTTCCAACTGTAGAATGCTGGCTTAAAAAAAACAACTTTACATAAAGAGGAGGATCACAAAATGCACAGGTGGGGGCCCCCCCAATACTTGCCTCTTATTTCTATTCTGAACATACTCATGGACTGGAGCAGACATGCAGTCTGGGTGGGCAGAGCGCAAGTCTCTGGGGGATACAGGGCTGGCTGGCTGTTTGCCCGCCTGCCTGCCTGGCTTCCTTCCTGGTTGACCTCTGCTGGTGCCTGGGGTCCTGCCTCAACCCTGGCCACCAAACACACTTTGCCTTGTACCCGCCAGGCCTTGGCCTCTCTGCTGCTTCTGTTGCTGCAGGCCACCACAGCCACGACCCTTGGCTACCACCTCTTCCTTGACCATGTCGATGACCTTGTTGAGGATGCTCAGGCACTTGATGGTGCTGCCATGGATGTAGCACTTGGGCATCTGCCAGAACTTGTCCCTGTTCCTGGATGTGCAGATCACCTCACACAGGTTCATGTTCAGCCAGTTATCGCAGCTTACCAGGTGCCTATTGTGTGTCTCCCCGTTTTTAAGCTCCACCAATATGGGGTGATACTGAGCCATCTTCAGCAGTGACAACAGAAGTGTGGTGTTGGCAGGGACCTGGCTCACCAGTCACTTCCATTGCCGCCTGCTGTGTACATTTTTATCTCTTGGTTACTTGAAGTATTTTGGTGCCTATCCCTTTCCCATTTCTTCATTAAAAGTCTTGGTGATTTATAGATCTGAATGAGTTCTTGTATATAAATTAATGCAGTCATGTGTGATACAACTATTTTTTATAACAGCTCATTGAGATTTAAATCATATATACCATACAGCTCACTCATTTAATGTGTATATTTTAGTGGTTTTTTAGTGTGTTCCTGGAATTGTACAAACATCTCCACTATCCAGTTCCAAAACCTCATCATTCCAAAGCGAAGCCACAGGCCCCTTAGCAGTCACTCCCCATTCTCCCCTTCCCCCAGGCCCTGACAGTCACTTAACTACTTTCTGTCCATATAGATTTGCCTGTTCTGGACATTTCATCAATTGAATCATATAGTGTGTGACCCTTTGTACCTGGCCTCTTTTACTTAGCATCATGTTTGTAATGCTCATCTATGTTGTAGCATGTAACCGTACTTCCTACCTTTTTATGGCTGCATAAAATTTGATTTTATGACAATAATACATTTTGTTTATCCACTTAATTGTTGTTGATGGACATTTGGGATGTATCTACCTTTTGGCTACTATGAGTAGTGTTGCCACGAACATTCTTGTACAAATGCATTTTCATTTCTCTTGGGTATATACCAAGGAGTGGAATTGCTGGGTTGTAGGGTATCCCGTTCCTCTTGAGGAACTGTCAAATGGTTTGCCAAAGTGCCTGCACCATTTTATATCCCAGCAGCTTTGCATGAGGGTTCCAATTTCTCAACATTCCCATTAACACTCATTATTATCTGTCTTTTTTATTCTAGCCATTCTAGTGGGTCCAAGTGGAATCTCATTGTAGCTTTGATTTGCATTTCTGTAATGGCTGATGATGTTGAACATCTTTCCATGTGCTTATTGGCCATTTGTATTTCTTTTTCGGAGAAGTGTTTATTTGGACCATGGCCTATTTTTAATTGTGTGTGTATTTTTAATCGATTTGTAAGTGTTCCTTATATAATCTGGCTACAAGTCCTTTATCAGATATATAATTTGCAGATACTTTCACCCATTCTGTGGACCAACTTCCTTTGTGGACAGGGGTTGGCTGCAGATGGCGTTTAAGCTGGCAATGATGGGCAGGCTCACTGGCTACTGGGTGGGGTGGGAGTGTTGGGGATTCATGCAGTGCTAAGGGAGGAGAGTGAGGGCAGATAGGTGCTGGGTGGTGGAGTCAGTGGGAAAGCAGGACAAGGAGGGCTGGGATTTGAGCAGGGAAGGGGCTCGAAAGAGGAAGACAGCAGCCTGAGCAGTGGCAGAATGTCAGATGGTCTGCTGGTACTTGGCGTTTGTGTTTCAACAATGTCAATACTTTAGTTCATGCATTTAGGAAAAGGGAGCTGCTTTGAGTCTTACCTATTTTTCCTGTGTCTGCCAGTATGACACCGTTCCTATTCAGTCCAGCGTGGTGTTATGTTCCTGCCCATCTCCATCAATGGTGAGGACCCAGACTGAGTCCGGCACGGCCCCTGTTGTTCCCAGTGGTGGTAGCAGGCAGGGCCCCACCACCATGGACAGCACTGCAGCTGAGTCCCGACCAAGTGCCAACTCACTGCAACATGCCACACAGCCACCACCACAGCCTCGGAAGAAACGGCCTGAAGACTTCAAATTTGGGAAAATTCTTGGTGAAGGCTCTTTTTCAACAGTGAGTCCATGCTGCTGTTGTTTGTTGAATGAGTGTGTTTTCCTCGGACAGGCTTACCTTCCAGGCTTGGAGCTGGGAGACCCAGATACAAGGGTAGTGTTCTTTCCCTGGAGGAGGGTATCAGGCCCCTGGGGGTTCCTCTTCTGTTGCGAGGGTGACTTGGGGCCACCAAGCACATCATGTGGCTTAAATATCTAATCCATGATTTTGTAGATGAGAGCATTAAAAGCATCTTTTTATCTTATTTTTTAAAAATGGCCGTTCATTTAATTCTAACCAGAGATCAGCAGGTTACATTCCATGTCCTTGTATCACATTGGCAAGGCTCTGGGAAGGTTTCTGTTCCTTAGATTAAAAGTTAGTATTGGTATTAGTATCTCTTCAGAGTTTGGGGCAAATATGTAGCTACCTTTATTATTTTTCTTATATTTTTAAAACTGTAAGACTTCACATTCTTGACACTTTGCTAGAGTTACAGCATAAGACTTGCTGACCGCCAGATTCTTGTGTCCTCAGTGTCATAAACAAATATCACAACACTGTCAAGTCCCACTCAGGGTAACTCTTTTTACTACTTGAGTGAGTTGTGTCTGTCCTGTGGTATTTTTACTTTAAAAGCAAAGAAGTAAAGGTTCATAGCAGCCCCTTTGTTGAGATGGCAGCCCCATGTGGCTGTGGTGGTGGTGGGGGTTTGCTGTAGGCTCGATGGAGGCCTGAGTATCTGCTCCCCAGCTGGGGTGCACAGTTTAAATCTATGTCTTCATAAAAAGACAGCTTCATGTTTCTGTGGTCTCCAAGTGTTCATTGTGGACACACCAGGTAGTGGTGCTGGAGCCCCCTAATATAGCAGGGTTTCTGAATAGTGAGCCTTTCTTGCCTGGCCTTTGTGGAGAAACCTTATGTGAAATTTGGTTTATCTATTTACATTTATGAAATATTTCAAAATATAAAGAAGAACATGAAATATTAAAGCTCATCCATGTTTTCAACGTTATTCTAATTAACGTTAGTTAATTTTTGCTCCCTTTACACTTTTAAGTTAGATTTTTTAATTGGCAGTTTTTATTTAAATTATGAAAAGAATTGTGTCCTTAGAATGAAAACTTTTAACTGTGAGGATAGCCTTGTTCCTTCTGGTACTTACAGATCCTTTCAGGAAGAAGAAACTATTTTGAAGAGAACCTTGGTGTTCTTCATGGTATCTTACAACAGTCCAGTTAAAAAAAGAGTTCTCTGGCCCTGGCTGGTGTGGCTCAGTGGATTGAGCACTGGCCTGTGAACCAGAGTCACTGGTTTGATTCCCAGTCAGGGCACATGCTTGGGTTGCGGGCCAGGTCTCCAGCAGGGGGTGCATACAATGCAACCACACATTAATGCTTCTCTCCCTCTCTTTCTCTCTTCCCCTCTGTCTAAAAAGAAATAAATAAAATCATTTAAAAAAAAGAAGCGTTCTCTCCTTTCTCAACTTCACTTCATTGGCCATTTATCTTGACTGGGAGATGAGGGCTGACTTGTGAATTCCCCCCATGTCTGGTTTCCTGAGGATAATCATGATGTTCAGATTAGTTCTGCCATGAGCAGAATGTGTCATACCTTTTACTGTGTATGCAGGGCACTCCCTGCCCTGTGCCTGAATGTGAAATGCTAAATTAGCACAATAGAAAGATGACATGACTGTCTTTTTCAGAAAGATTTCCATTAAGTGTTAGTATTCTTTAACAATTCTTTTTATTCACTTACATAGCTATTATATGCTCCTGTGAAGAAATTTAACAATGTATAAGTGTATAACCAGCTGACTCCCCCAGCACTTCCCAGCACCTGTGAATAGTCCACACAGGTACATCCTGGAAAGATCTTTGAGATCTTTCTCCTTGAGTATGCACAGTCCAACCTCATTCTTAATGACTGCAGGGCATTTCACACAGTGCTTTTCCAGGATTTCTTTTGATGAATCCTGGTGAATAATTCTGTAGTGGCATATAATTCATACCCAGGCGCCTCCCGAGGTCTTCCCAGAAGGCCCAAGGATATCCCAGGATTTGGGCAGGTTTTCATTTCCTCTGTGGTCTTTGGGCTATCCCCCTGCAGGTGTCTTAGGAGAGGCATTTGTACCAGCTGGAAGTGGTGGGGGCTGCCCAGCATACCACCAAACTGGGCTCATGGGGCATTTGCAGGTTGTGCTCAGGTTTGCTTGTGTAGAAAGGCCTTTCCCATGTTGTGCAATAACCCATTAGCAGCTCTGTTCCCCAAGTAGAGTTTGAGCACCAACTTGGGTATACCACAGAGAGGACACAGCTAGCTAGGAGTGTGACTGTGGCCTGTGTTGAGGGAGCTGGCCTGGATGTTTCCGTGTGTGTACTTTGGTGCACAGTGGGGACTATTGGCAGCTGATGAAGAACCTCTTGGAAACATTGGAGAGAGATACGCGTTTGCTGTTAACTATTAGAGTGCATTAACTTAATCATTATATTCAGCTATATTTGTTAACACAGGACCAAAAATATTTAAATGTAACTTTACAATAGGGGCAGGGTAACCTGTGTGAATCGTTGTGGGGTAACTTGTGAGACTCATTGCCCTGGTTACATTTGGTGTTTTTTCTCTTCTCTTTCCCCTCTTCTCAAACCAGGTTGTCCTGGCCCGAGAACTGGCAACCTCAAGGGAATATGCTAGTAAGTACTGACTCCAGCAAGCTGTTTCTGGGACTCGGAAACAGCACACATCTGGGCTGACGGCCACCTGGCTGCCCAGTGCTTAGGGGTTTCTGTGCTGATTTTAGGGGACAGGACACTGTCAATCTGTCTTAGAGGCCATGCAGCCAATGGCTTCATTATGTGAAAAACTTTAATTTATACCAGTTACCTTTATGCGTTGTATCTTTAGTATTTTCTTACCATTTCAAATTGTGGTAACTCACTTCTCTCTTACCTTAAGTTAAAATTCTAGAGAAACGCCACATTATCAAAGAGAACAAGGTCCCGTATGTAACCAGAGAGAGAGACGTGATGTCGCGCCTGGATCACCCCTTCTTTGTTAAACTTTACTTCACGTTTCAGGATGATGAAAAGCTGTGTATCCTTTGAATAGTCAAAGCGTTCTGAAATCACACAGTGACACCTTATTATTTTGGCTTCATGACACCATTGTTGTTTGCAAGTAGCCCCTTCTCCGAGGAAGGAAAAGGGTTGTATATTCTAAATACAAAGGAATT